CCTCCAACAATTTCCAGCCAAATTCTCTTTTTTCTCTCCTGTGGTTCCCTTCCCTGCCACAGTCCTATTGCTATCTTTTCTCCTCCCTCACCCAACCCTTCTGGACCCTCAACCATCTTTGGAGCCCTTTCCGCCAACATATTGCCTTCTTTGTATATGGATGGCCTGAAGCTTGGCTTTTGATGGACCTTGGTGATTAATCCTTTCTCGAAGAAACAAATTGAGGCAAAATATTGGGCGATCTCCTTTTCTATCTACCGGGAGCTTGGAGGTGATTGAGCTGACCGGAACTGTGACTGGCTTGCCAAATGCTTAGGAAATTTCCGTTTTTGTAGCAGCCACCGCTTCAGATCCTGCCCCCCTTCAATTTCTGACCACTATTTTATCAAGAGGGGGAAAAATAAGGTTGCATAGTGAAACAGAGAGAACAAATTTGTTTTTAAGTGATAGAGGAAACAGGCGGAGTAGGGAAAAAGGGGTGTGTTTGCTGTTGGAGGTAGTTTGGTTGGAGATGATGTTTAAGTGACTCAGTAGTGGGTTTGGTTGTCCTGGGTCTGTAGTTTTTTCTTAGCAGTCTCCTCTCTTTGGGATTGGTGGTGGTGTATGTGGCTAGGAGTAGGAAGACTAGAAACGTTGGTTGATCTGAGGTTTTCTGTTGATTGAACCGATATTGTCCCTCCTGGGTTTCAATGAACACCACATGGTCTTTAGGGTGAAGGCCCACTGCTTTCTATAATAACATACCAAAACAAGGAATTGGGTTGGAATTTGGAAACATTGTCTACTGCAAATCTATTCTTCCCAAGTCAACCAAAAGTCTTCCCTGTGTGTACATTTTTTCTTCTATAGCTACCTCACCAACTAAAGTATGTACATTCTATCCAAAGGGTCTTCCAATTAAACAACTAATGAGCAGGAAGTAGTTCCTCGGGCAAACCTGTAGAGCAGTATTAACTTTCTCATTTCATTTGTATCCTTTGGTGGTGTCTCCGTGCACATGCTAAAAGTTTTGTGTTTATTTATTTTGTAGCTAATGGTGATGTCTCAGTGCCCATGTTCAAACTATTATTGGCTTGAATCTGATGAGAATTAATTATAAATCTGAAGTTATTATGTTTGAGAAACAAATGCTTTCAAAGTAGTAATGACAATTGCTAAATGGTATCAATGCAAAATAAATTTGGTACTCTGGATTAGCAGTAAAAATTGGAAGCAATGCTTTGTGGGGAGAGGTTGTCATGGGAGGTTCTTGTCTCCCTATAAGATGCAAAAGTAATGGAGCTTCTCTATGTTTCATTCATCTTCATTGAAGTTTGAGTACTGTTTTGTTGCTTTGCATTCTCTCAGAAGTTACACAGCAAATGCTTCGGTATTTTAAGCACGATGAAAAACAAAAAGTACCGCAAGTGCCTAATGATGTGATCAAGCCATCTACTCTGAAAGCTGAAAACTCCACAAGTCAGAGTGCACAGAGCAGATTAACGGTTGACTCTGGTCTTGAGGAGAAAGCTGCTCCTGTGGCTCGAGAGCAGAAACCTCAAACATACAAGTATGGCTCGAAGGGTATAGTTGAAAGCAACCATCTTCCGGTGAAGATAGCATCAGAGCATCAGTCAAGTGACTGTAGTGGAGTTAGTAGTGTCATTGACTGTGAGACTGTTGATACAAGTTCCAAAACTGCTCGTGGGGATGATGCTCTTGGAAAAATTGATTTGGACCGCCTCAAAGGGGCATTTGAGCGAACCCGGCGTGTGAAATGTGCTAAAAATAAGGCTGTGGCAGTAACAGAAAGCGACCTGGATGGCGATCTCTTAATTGAGAGTGAACTGGAGAAAGGAGTAGAACTTGAGTATGTGGCCGCTTCCAAGAGACAGAAGGTGCTTCATGAGTGAAGTAGAAGTTGATTTTTGTCTGAGGGGGAATTCGAACTGTCCAGCTCTCAGCCTCTCATATTACAGGTATCAATTCATTAAATTTTTAAGGCTTCATTTGGGTGGTTTTAGTACCCTTATCCAGAAATAGCAAATTGGCCAAGCTTTGTAAACTCGATCTACTCAGTTACGAGTATTGCATGAATTCTGGGAAACCTTGCTTGTAGAACTGATGTATACTAACAATTATGGATGTAAATAGTTATCCATGGGTTATGCACTTATGCCTGCTTTCAAGGCTAGCATTAAATTTTGATCATTTGTAATCATAAATAGTGCAAAACTTTCTATATATATGAGGTAGAGCATTTTCCATCATACAACTGTCTTGATTTTTGGCTTCTGTTCTCCACCAATATTTCTCTGGTTCCGACTTTGTGAACATGCAATGTTTTTTGGGCCCAAGGGATCCCAAGTTCCCCACTTACAAGCACCATTATCATTTGGTAAGATTCGAGCCTTGTATCTCTAGAATTTAAGGCAAGAGTCTTACCAAGTGAGTTAAGTCCTAGATAAATTGACTAATACTGATACGCATTATTTATATTTTCCTGTAGGCTGGGCATACACCATTCCAGCAGAAACTCAAGTACGAAATACACTTCGCAAGTTCTTATATTTTAACGGCAAATGTTACAGTAGAACCCAATCAAATTATTAAAATAATAAAACAAAAAAAAAAAAAAAAAAAAGTAACAAAAAACAAGAAAATGCGCCTGAAACACTTCTGTCGGAAGCAGACTTCATGGAATGAATCTTGAGAGTTTGTGAGACTCAATTGATGACTTAATGTAGGTACTTGTAACAGAATATCTGTCTCTATGTCTTTATTTTTAAAATATTAATATGCTTGCATTTAAAGAGAGACACACATGTAAGTACTCGTAATATAGATAAAATTTGATTGTAAGTGTTTAATACAATACCACCTTTTAAGATTTTAATCAAATACGATAGTTGTCATTCTCATACATGTTAGTTAGTCTCATTTTTAAATTACCTTTTATTTTATTTTTATTTTTTTGGGTTGCACATATAAATTACTAGACTGAAATGTAAATGTGTAAAATACAGCACAGTTGCAACTGGATGGATGGGTGGACAATGGGGCTAACCATGAAGGGTAAAAGCAAAAAGGTGAGCATTTTAAAGCCAAAGTTGCCCATACCCCCCTTGTCATGTTTCTCTTTCCCATTTTCTACTCTGATGTCAACTTTTGTCCCCTGATTTTATTTCTGTCTTATCTCACTAAGTTCACTACTTAACTACTTAATCAACTCATTAATTAACTGTACTTTTTCCTCCTATTCAAAAGAATTAGATAAAAATTTAACTTGTATGTGAATTTAGAATTTTAACCTGTCTAGTGAAAAGATTGTAATTTCCAACCTTGATTTTGGTCACGCAAAGTTTCAATCCTCACTAGGAACGTTTTTTAGGGTGTAAATGGTACGAGTAATTAATTTTTTACCCTACTAACCCGTTCCTCTTAATGTGTCTAGTCTACTAATCTAAGTCGGATTAACATGTGCAATAAGGTTTCAGATCAATTTGATAACCTTTAGAAAAAATGAGAATAAAATTGTCAATACTCAATACCCTACTAACATACAAAAACATAATGCATAAAAATGATGGTCATCCATGTTGTAACTACACACCTAGCTTTAAAATAGTCTTAAATAACGTAACAATAATCTTGCTAACAAATCAAGTCTTAGACAAGCAATAATTACCCTAAGCTTATATACTCATGATGGATTTAATAGTTAACTCCATTGAGCTACTAGCTATATTCATTACTCCTATAATTTTTTTCATAACCGACCAAGCATAAGATATGGTTATTATTATTATTATTATCTAATCCATCAAAAAGCACATTTTATAAATAATTTAAGTAGCTAGATATAATACATAATTAAGAGGTAATCAGAGCTTATAAACATGCTGGGTTAAGAGTGAAAGAGTAGGGATATTAAATAGGGCAAGGCTGCCAATAGCCATCATTAGCTTAGCATTAAAGCCTTGGGATTGAAGGGAAGGACAATTATGATGATGATAACCTAGCTAATTTGTAATCATCTTCCTGTTATTGCAGTCTGCCAAAAAGAATTACCCTTCTTAGTTCTTACACATTATTGATCCATGGATCTCCTAAACAAAGAATAAAACAAAGTTTGAGATTGATAGAAACAAACAAGTAGCTATGGGTCGGCAAACTTGATACTCTCTCTGGCCGAAAATAATGGATATTTTATCATTTTACTTCGTATTTTAGAGTTTAGACAACCTAGCTACCCTGAATAAATTTTTGGAAAAACATAAAACAAAAGAGATGAATTGTATTCTAATGATAAAAGTTGTGTGGAATTAATTAAGGGACATTCTACTTTAATTTAAAAACTTTTTCTTTGTTGCTTTGGATACCTAAGATTGATCAAGTGCGCATGCTTTCATTAGTTAGTTTTTTAAATTTAAAGATGAGCCAAGCTTGAACAATTCTTAAAACTCGTTTAATTCCTAAACAATGTTGATCATGAACATTAATATGTATATAAGCTCATAAACAACTAGTTTATTTATGCTCATGAACAAGCTTGTTTAATAAAGTTATTGACTATACACCGTTATTAAGTTAATTTAATTGTTCATCCATCAAGTAAATTCTTAGACTCTTATGTAACTAGCATGCACAACTCGTTACAAGAAAATCTCACTCGTTCATAACTCGACTCATTTAATAAATAACGAGCTATTTACAAATTGTTCATGAAAACTACAACCTCATAAACAAGTTGAACCTTGCTCAAATGGAATTTTGAGCTTGCATGATCCCAAATAAATTTTCGATCACCACCTACCAAATGCCCAATAAAATTTTCATATGTACTTAGATAATTAAAGACATATATATACATTTACATATTAGTCTTGAACATAGATTTCTTAACAACCTTAATCTAAAGACTTTCCCAACATAGTAAGGTAACATCCACATCAATGTTAATGTACATATCCTTTACACTAATCAAATATTGTCAAAATTCCTAAATGGCCCCTCTAGGAGAGAGTTATTCCTCCTAAGCTTTCTTTCTTTTCAAGGGTACTTTAAGAGGTGTTGAAAACACAAAAGAGGATATTATAGAAATGAGAAAAAAGTTTTTTTAAAAAAAAAGCAATATAATGCATAAAAACTTGGGTTTTTTGTGGCTGTCACCTGAAACTATTCTTGTTGTTTGGAGGGAGTTCAGAATTATGGGGAGGAGATTAAATTAATACACTCTTAATCTTGGGATTTTAAAGCCCAATTTTTTTATATATATAATTATATTTATCTTTACTTAATTATATTATGCACATATTATTACTTAAATGTGTGATATAAGCATGGAATCTTCAAATCTTCATCAACAACATAATCATCATCATCATCATCTTCAAGATCATCAACTTATTGCAGATTCTTCTTCTAATAATCCACCTTCTTTGCCTTCTCCATGTTTTAGTGTTGCAGAAAATGAACATGCTTGGAGAACTCCCACTTTCTTTTTGTAAGTTGATTTTTTTAAAAAAAATATTATAATTATTTTGGCATAAATTTATGTATATCATTTTTTTCTAAAGAAATTGATTTTTTTTTTTTTTTTTTTTGTTGATTTTATTTCTATGAAATAATATACAAAAGTAGGTGGGATGTGAACTTTTAATCTTTTGATTTGAAATTTGTAACATATGAGATAAGCTCTTTGTGCAATGGGGTTCCTCTCTTGCTAGTTTGTGCTTAGATCTTACATGCATTTTCCTAGAATTAGGGTTTTATAATTGTCTTTCATCATTTTTTGGCACTCTTTCCTCTTTGTTGGATCTTTTTGGATCTCCTATTATCTTTTTATGCATGGATCTAATTTAAAGATTTAGAATAGTTACTATTTTTTTATTTTCACATAATTATATACATAGAAAATTTACCAAAAACAAAAGTTTATTTCAAGAATAGTTACTATTTTGTATTTTCACATAACTATACATACCAAAAACACAAGTTTATTTCAAGGATAAATTGTAATTTAATTATACAGAAATTCATTTTCATTAATTATGTGATTTTGCTTAAACTTTTGTTAATTTAATTGGCAGGAACAATAATGGCAATATCCATGCAACTTGTGGTGAAGATGCTCCTACTTCTCTTAACAATTCCCTAATACAAGAAGTAGGTTTTCCTTGGCCTAATGATCATATTGCCATTAATCAATCTACTCCTCACCAAGAACATCATCATCAACTTATCGCCGACAAAATTAAGGAAGAACAATCACCATCAACCTCCTCAGATCACCATGATAATCCTACTTTCGCGAAATTTAGTGACATGTTAAGCTCCTCAACTTCATCACCAAGTGAAATGCTTCTTCTCAAAAACACATTATCTCCTACTTTCAAAAACCATATGCTTTCTAATAATAGAAATCTTCATAATCAACCTTCAACATTTCAACCAAATATACAACAATTTCATCAAAATACTAATAAAAGCATTAGTACTACTTTCAGCCAGATTTTTCCTAGTGTAAATATTTCGAACATGAACAACAATAATATGTCTTCACCAATATCTTCAAGTTCAAGCACAATTGATCCTCAGATGGCTAATAATGCTCAAAATGGTTTCGATCTATTCGCTACTGCTCGATTTCTAAGTGGAGAGACTCTTAACAATCATTCCTCTCCAAGTAATAATCTCCTAGAGCTGTTTGAAGGTAGTCCTCGGTTCAAAGTTGATCATGATATGCAACAGTCTAATGATCTCAAACTTTGCAACTTTCCTAATAATAATGTGAGTATCTTTTTCCTATGTATAACTAATTGGTTTATATTCATATACTTCTTCTGTCTTTATTTGTTTTTCCGGTCTTTCTATTTTTAGTAACAAATTTCTCCTCAATACCGCGAAAAAAAAAAAATTCTATTTGTTATTTTTGTTTTATTTTTAGCTAATATATATATATATATATATATATATATATATATATATATATATATGATACTATAAGTTATGATATTTGCATTGTCAAAATGTCAAACAAAACACATGTATGTTTAACTTTAAAAATTAATGATTCTTCACCTTTGACAAGCGTGGATTAGTGTTCTAAGTATACTTTAATAATGATGACACATTAATTATACATTTAGGACAATATGTAAAAAAGAATATAATTAAAGAGATGGATCAATCAATAAATATTTACTCTAATAATTTGTATGAGTAATAAAATAGAAAAAGCTACACTTCTTTATAAATTAAAGTTGAATAATTTAGATTATTGAAAGAGAAAAAGAATGGTCCTGCTGTTTTATCTTTTTTTTTTTTTTTAATATGAATGATACCTTCAGCTTTATACATTGAAATGATATTAAAAAAATTATCTTTTCAGAACCTTAAGACTATTTCTTTTCTTTTTTTTCCTTTCTTGCAAAGTTTATGTGGTTTACTTGTTTCTTTTTGTGGGTAGTCTATTGATATTGATTAAGTTCTTTTGGTTAAAGCTTTCATCTTTTAACAATAATAATGGAGTCATCCCAGCTAATTCAAAGAACTACATTATGGAGCAACAATCAACTCATCATCAAATGTCATCTAAAAAACCACGCTTCGAACCACGCGCTTCTTGCCCTCCTTTTAAGGTAGGTTATAGCAAGGTTAGCTTAAGCATAGCACTTCGTATTTTCTTGGTTACTAAATAATATGTCGCTTTCTAAATTTAATTTAGTCAGTTAAGCATTCGTGAACTTTGTTGTTATGATATCTTTAAACTCTTTACTATACAAATTCCAAGAATAACTACATATGTTAGTATTTGACTGAATTTTATACACGGAATTATTTATACTAGGTCATTTTCTTATAAAGGTGTATCTTATGTACGATGTTAAACTACGTACTCGTGTAACATACATGCTTGTGTATTAATCAGGTAAGGAAAGAGAAGTTAGGAGATAGAATCGCGGCACTTCAACAACTAGTGGCACCCTTTGGCAAGGTATATACTCCGTACTTTACATTATGAATCGATTATAGTGTTGCATTATTATTGCAATTAAAATAAATCAATCAAAATCATTTCTATCGAGTCAAAAATGTATTTCTACATATTTGAATAAATTAGATGAGGAGGTAACATTTGGCAAGACATTTTATCTTATTTGAAAGATTGATTTATAGTCGAAATGAGAATGTAATTAACTTAGGACTTGTTTGGCATCATTTTTGGTTTTCTGTTTCCTGTTTTTTTGAAAACCAAAAACAGGAAACAAGAAAAAGGTGTTTCCACTTTTCTATTGTCAATTTTCATATTTGTTATGATTCTAATAGGTTTAAATAATTTTTCATTCATTATGTGACATATATCATATACTTTTATACAACAAAAAACCAAAAAACAGAAAACCACAGCTGTTTCGGGGTTTTCTGATGTCCTGCGGGAGAGTTACAATTCCGAGACTGGAACCGGACGTCTGTACCTGCAAAATAACGGAGACTCCTGAGAGCTCCGCCTCCAACGGTCAAGTTAGTACCTGATTAAGGAGTAATCAATACAGAAAGTAAAGTAATGAGATCTCTCTAGGTGAGAGTGCTTAGTGTTGGTAATCTGCGTTGTTAGCGTGATTAGCCGGTTGTTAATAAGTCTGTTCTTCTCTGCTTGATCTCTTAATTATTCGGTTGTTTTTTTGTTTTTTGATTAATGAGGATTAATCGAGTATTTATAGCCTTGGGAAGCGTGCAACTCTCTAGGCTTAAGGTAAACCTAGGGCTGATCGGGCCTCTAGACTGAAATGGGCCTTGATGGCCGGTTGTCCCACTTGGCATGGGTGGACACGTGGCGTGTCTTAAGTGGTCCGTGGAGGACGTATCTGTGACTGACACGTGGCAAGCTCCTGTTGGCCTTCGTGAAGGACACGTGGCGGAACCTGGTTGGTCCACTTGTCAGACGGTGATTGGTGGATAAAAATCCCCTAATCATTTGCCCCTCACAGGCGGCACGCGACTGGTCACGTGTCGCCTGTGACAGGTGTCGCACGGTGACAGGCGACGGCCCGTTACAGGTGTCACCTTGCAGACGGCCGAGAGATTTTCCCGCCCAAATTTGAATTTGGAAGCGACCCTTCGCCTTCTCATTTTGCCTATAAAAGGAAGTGCTGACTTCGGTCATTTTCACATTTGAGAACTTTTGCGAGAACATTCGGACCCCTGAACTTGCTCTGACATTTTCGGACTTTTTCTGCCTACCGCCTGTTCTGACAAGCCGACTGACCCGAACTTCCAGGACTTCATCAACCGTCACCCGTTCAGGTAACTCAGTTCTCTTACTCTTAATTTTCTTTTTATTTTTTGAAATGGCACCATGGAAGCACACGACACGCCCTAAGTTAGTGATCAGCCGGTCACCGGGGACGGCTGAATCTAGGACTAGGAGTGCCGCCTGCCCTTTTCTGGACCCATCTTTGCCCTTTATACAAAGTCCGACTGAATCTGTGTCTATGCAGAACGTGATGGCCAGAACAAAAAAGACTGCTATGATATCAAACTCAGACGGCTCCTCCCAAAGGGTGCTCCTTAGCGAAACATCTGACCAGGCGCCAGATGTAGAACGAGGCGACTGTCAAGCTGACAGTGCTGAGAGAGGGACCAAGGTGTTCCCTTCTCATCTAACCGTGGACATGTCTAATTTTCCTTCTGATCCTTCTAAGGGAGAGGAGGCGGGCCCCTCTAGGAGAGGGGAGGAGTCGTCCTCTTCGGACTCGTCAGGGGACGAGTCCGAATCCAGCTCTTCTGACCATAGTTCTTCTGGCTCAGAAGAAAAACATAGCCGCCTACAAGAGGCGAGAAGTTCTCATGCAGTGGAGAAGGGGGATAATTGGGCAGAGCCGTCCGCCTCTTACAGAGAGGAAAACGCCCCCTACTACTGCAGGGTGCCCCGGGGCCGGATTGCAACCATGCGAGACAACGTGGCGAGCTTTATTGCTAACCACAAAATGGGCCCGGAGTATTTACTGTTTGTGCCGGATCCAGAAGATACTGTCGTCTGGCCGGCTGGTACCAGCTATGGTGACGGCTGCTTTGGCTGCTATGTGGCGGCCATCAAAGCTGGACTGCGCTTCCCATTACATCCGGCTGTTCAGCGGATTTTAGATGGGTATGATCTGGGGTTATGGCAGTTAGCCCCCAACTCTTGGGTAAACGTACTCGGCTATGTGGCCGGGTGCGAACTGAACGGGGTGGAGCCAAGTTTTGAGGCTTTCGCCCACATGAACTATCTCAGCCGGACCCCCAAGTCGGGAGGTACCGGCTGGTATCAATTGACAAGCCATAGGGGTTACCTCATGACGAGAGGTAAGGCAAACAAATGGAAGGATTGGCGGAACACCTTCCTTATTATCGAGAGTTCAGACACGGAGCTGAACAAACGTTTTAATAAGTGGAACAGGGATCCACCTCTTCTCGCAGGCGGCCGCAGCATGCCGCCTGTTCCCCCAAAGGCTAAAAAAGAGATCCTAGACAAAGGACTCTTCAAAGTAGAGACTAGGGTGAACTCTACTTCAGGGGTACGAGAGCAAGTACCCCTAAATTGCGTCCCGAGCTTCAAGTGGCTCTATGACGAGTACTTCTTGGCCGCCTGTGGCCTCGGCAGTCGGTGCTCTAGAGGTAGCCGGCCTGACGAATACTCTGTTTTTTCACGCCTTGTTTACTTGGAATTTTTACTAACTTTGCTGTTTATTTCTTTCAGCCGACGCCATGAGTAAAATATCAGCATCTAAGACTGCGGCGGCCATGCTGCGGGTCTCACTAATGAAGCAGTCGTATGTCGACTCCCCCAGCAAGGAGGCACCCTTGGTAAGCTTTGAAAACTCCTCCTTTTAGTTGTATTATGCATATACTAACTCTTTTTGTTTTCAGTCTGGCACTCCAAGGGCTTCTTCCTCGCAACAGCCGGACCCCAAGGCCCGGAGGACGACTGTTGCAAGCTCTCCTGGGTCTTCCAGGAAAACAGTGGCGGCTGAGAAGCAGCCGGCCACTTCTTCAAAAACCCAGGCGGGGCCGCCTAGATGTATGGACACTTGCTTGTAAAAACTCACCCTTGCTTCCTTCTTGATTAGGTCTAACTTGTTTTTTCCTTTCGCTTAATGCAGCCGGCCCCCAGGGACTTGACTTGGTTGAGGTAGCCAAGTCAATGGTTAAAATAGTTCCTCCATCTGACAGGGAGGCGGTCAAGGGTGCCGGCACCCTTGACCTCGATGGAATTTCGGGGATCCTAGCTGAGGTATACTTAGCACCTTTTTGAGCTTTTGAGTTCCAGGACGCCTGTTAACTCTTTTGATTGGAAACTGACGCCTGTTTTTCTTTGTACTTAGGCCCTGCTCCGAGTCAACAGCCTTCGCAAGCCGATTGATCGGAAAAACAAAGAGGTAAAGGCCGCAAAGGCTATGGCCGCCTCCAGCTGTGATAAGGCAATGTTTCAAATTGCCCAAAATGAAGTACTGACCCTTGATCTTCTTTATTATCAGGCGCAGGCGACCGCCGCTGTTCGGGCTCAGCTAGAGACGGCCCAAAAGAAGGTTGACGAGCTGGAGGGGACCGTCACCAAACTTAAAACCGAGCTGAAACCCCTTCGCCAAAAAATGCACTCTTACGAAGCCATGGAGAAATCTTTGGCTAACGTAAAAGAACGCCTGGTGAACCAGGAGAAGAGTCTTACCCAAGAGCTCTCGGACAAGGCCGAGCAAGAGAAACAAGAGCTCGTCCGGGAGATGGTGGAAGACTCCGCCCAAATCCAACGCATGACCTGGGAACGACTGTTCCCCAGTGCCGACTTTGCCTCATGGGAAAGAACGTACCGCCAGTGTTCGGAAATATATAATCAACAGATCCTGGCGGCTGCTGAAGAAGAGGCGATGGACGTTGCGTTGGAGGAGGAAGAGCCGGTTGTGGCGCTTGTGCCACTTGGGGGTAAGGCATCAAAAAATGATGCAGCTAAGGCCGAGTCCAGCAAGAAGAGTGCTGACCAGGCGGCTGCTGCTGATACTGAACTGCCCCCTTCTTAAGCTTTAAGTATATTTTTTTCTTTTCACGGCCTGCGTGCCGTTTGCTTTGTAATTACCCGGCCAGGGGGCCGGGGTTTTGAATATTCTGCTGGTCTTTTATGGCCGGCTCATTTTAATCAAATATTTTGTTTTTGTTCAAATTTGTCTAAGTATTTGAAGTTTGCTCACTTGACCGACTGTTGTGTATGGCCAAACGTTTAGACAGGTAAGTATGCCGCCTATGCCCCTGGACGACTGGTTGTCTGTTTCCAGGATAGATGATCAGTCGGCCATTTAATCAATCGGTATTCGAACTCTTTATTCAATTTGACCAAGTAAATAGAATTACCTAGTAGCCAAGGATTTTAAGTAGGAAAACAAGCGGCGGGTACCGGTTGTTTCCCTTTATTGCCAATGTTGGCTTTAAACTCGTTATTTTTTAACCTAGCAAGAGTATTGGTTGAGAGCCTTTGTTTATTAAAAACAAGTGGACGACTCATACCTTTTAGGCTTCATACTAAGTTTGAGTGACTATTAAGTTAACATAGGAGTTACTTAGTCTTTGTCACAATCTTGATTGAGTAGTAGAGGTGTCAGGCGGCGTAGGCCGGCTAGACCCCTTGATTCACCAATGTTTGCTGGCTATTAACTCAATAGGTTATCCAGTAGGAATAGGGGTTCGAGTGCCCTTGTTTGTTTAAAACGGGCGGACGACTCAAACCTTTTAGGTTCCATACCAAATTTGAAGGAGTGACTATGAGTTAACTTTGGAGTTACTCAGTCGCCGTCACTTTTGTTTGAGAAGTAGAGGTACCAGGCGGCGTATGCCGGCTAGACCCCTTGATTCGCCAATGTTTGTTGGCTATTAACTCAATAGGTACCCCCTGCATTTATCCCAAGTAATACAGGCGGTCATCTGACTCAGATGTCAACTGCTACCACTGGTTTGGTTAGTGATAGA